ATGCTTAAAAATATATATTTTTTTCTTATTTTTTTTTAATGAGTTCTGTATGATGTGAAGTACATGCCTCCTAATTGTGGAGTCATTTTGCTAAGGCAAAAAAAAAAAGAAAAAGCACCAATGATGGCGGTGTCAAATCGTGTTCGCTCACTAATTTCAATTATTTTTTTTACTTTTTTCTATTTTCTGTTTTCTATTTTTTTTTCCCAATTTGGTAACGAATTTAGATGGTATGCTCGGGCAAACGTTGTTTATTTGATTTTTCTTCATAACATATTGTTTTTTTGGAATTTTTTGAGGGTTTTTTTTTTTTTTTTTTTTTTTTTTTTCCCGTGCGGAATTGAACTCCGCGTTCGGTCCCGTTCATTGAACGCGGGTACATTCCGTTCAGTTTCTGAATGGAAAACCCGCGTTCAATGAACACGTGGTTTCACAGGATGGGGACTGCAGTGCAAACCGTATATGTGTGGATCTATATGGAGGTTCTCGTGTTCTCGGGTTCCTATGGTTGCTTATGCATTTTTACACATACCTTATGGACATCGTTCCTGTTCACAATGCAGAGTTAGAGCCCACCTTCTAACCCCATCGTAAATGATCCAACTTTGCTACTTGACGTGTCTACCCCTAAGATAGGTTGCAATAATGACCCGAACCTTTCCCGACGACTGCCATGGTTTTAGCAACGATGGAGTGTTTGATCACTGCATGACCCTCGAGCTATGTGCTGCTTTCCTCCTCGTTGGATGTGTGGACGTCCTCGTCGTTGGATTTGTAGGGTTCAATCGTGATGTGCGCAGGTCATGCGCTGCTTTCCTCCTCGTTGGATGTGTGGACGTCCTCGTCTGCACTCTGTCGCTGCCTGGCCGCCTGCCCTGCGTGCTTCGCATGTGGTTCTTTGCAGGTTGATGTGTTCGTTGTGCGGTGTGACCGTGTTGTTGGTGTTGCCTTGTGCTCGCTGCTCCATGCTCATCCGCCGGTCGTGGCTTCCGTGCTTGCCGCTTGTGTGCCATGTAGGTTGGTTGCCTTGTTGCTGGTGCCTTGTGCTCCGCTCCATGGTTGCCGACCTGCTGCTCCGCTCGCCTTGTCGTTCCTTGCAGTGTTGTTGCCTTGTTTGTGTTGACCTGTGCCTCATATACGGTTGCCGCGTTGCATGCCCTGCGTGCCATGTCCTTCCTTGCAGTCGTTTCTGGCGTTGTGCAGTCGTGTTGCCTCTACTCTGTTGCCTGGAGGCTGGTGCTCCATTGGGTTGCTGCCCGCTGCTATGTTCCGCTTGGGGACAGTCTGCCTTCAACCTGTGTTATCGCGCGTTCAATAAACGCGCATTTCTCGTTCATGTTTTAAACACGTTGAACGCGCGTTCATTGAACGGGGCTAAACGCATTGAACGTGTGTGCACACGGTGCAGACTCTGCAGAGGTGTGGGCC